CTTTCTCTTTCTGCAAATTGTATGGCGTAGTGATATGACAGCACCCAAAATACTATCAAACACTCCAGCGCAGCTCCATTCTTCGTGAAAGATGGATAAAAAGGCGCACAGGAAACAAAAACATCGAAAAATGATATACGACCCGCCAAATGCTGGCCAAATCACAGAGATGCCAATTTGCATGGGACTAATATTATCACAGGACCTCGGTGTTCGGCGAAATATGGTAGGTCATTTGCAGGGGATTTTTTACTTTATAAATTACAGACATGGCCGATAGACAACCTTCGCAATTATTACAAATGACTGGAGGTCACCAGGTAATACTAATCCCGTGCAAATAGGGCTTTTGAGGTCAATTTGACCCACATACTGTATGTCCAAAATTAGCTTTTTTTCATGACTGCTTGTAGTGACTATATTTGAAGGTGCAAATAACTACAAGTGAGTATAGTATCTTACATTATTTCTACTTAGCGTACCATATTTATTACTACTTCGTCTGCCTTTTTGTTATTCTCAAACCCTTGTGAGGGTAAAATGGGTTTCTCACACTTCAGTGCTGCAAATGAAACAACTAAAAACATCCTTTGACAGATTATTTGTCTTTGAAAATCATCTAGATAAAGAAAAGTGCATTTTTTCTCAGATGATTCAAAACATGAGTCTCAGTTTCGAGTAAACTTTGAGTTTTACATTTCATAAGTTTGCATGTATTTCATATTTTAGCGTATGACAAGTTTTCTGCTATTTACCTGACTTTTTAGCGTTTTTTTTTCAGTGTTGCTTTTTAGCAGGTTGTATGGAAACCAGTGGTGCTCAAAAGTTGTAATAATTTCCAAAACACATCTGTCTCGAAACTTTTCAAGCACAGTCATAACCCTAAATGAGAAATTTTCACAAAATGTCAAGAAGAAATAAATAGTTTAACCACTATTTTGACGAATTTGAAAATCGAGTGTTGGTTAAATTGAGCCGAATACAACAGGAGGGTTAAATATCTGTTTGATTAACTCTAAAATATTTTAATTTGTTCTAGATCATTAGACGAGATGGCGTTCATACAAAAACGCTGCCAGTCACAGAGTGGCTTGGTACTAAGGAAGCAAAGACACCGACACTGACACTTCCATTCCTTCTGGAATACGGGATATGTTCATAATTGTAAATCGCTCACTTGTTCTCAAAATGCTCAAGATGAATCAGTGTATTTTTCAAAATATTTAGAGATTGGACTTCTCCAATCAGCTTTCCTCTCGTTGTTTTAAAGCCATGACACAGATCATCAAATACCATATGAGGGCATCCAATTCACGTGTAATTTTTTTCTTTAGGAAAATGGTTTAGGACGAAGGTTTTTTGATTGAAACATTGGTTTATCTGAATTAAACTTTGAAATCTGCAACAGAATGCAGGAGCTTTTCTTCACTGAAAGGATCTCTACAAGTTAAAAAAAACAGCTCAAATAATACATTTCTTCTTAAAACCATTGGAAAAATAATTGGGCATTTCATAATTTAAAGGGATTTGCGGAAAATCATATTCCAGTAAACATTAAAAACTCTTTAGATGTTATTGGATCGCATTTGGTTTCTGTGTGAACTCTTTTTGTTTTCCTTGTGTTTATTTTGCTTATGTAAAACATATTTGTTATGATTAACTGTCAAGTTTATGGATCGCAGCTTTAGTGAAGAAAGCAAAACCCTCGTATCGTATGGCATCCATGCAGTGTTCTCTGGGCCTAATGCAATATAGCAACTACGTGACCACCACAGTGAAAATTAAGTAAATATAAACACATATCTTCACATTCTTCCTGCAAAATGCCAAAGGGGAAAGTGACACTGTGTTTAATATAAAAGGTGTGCTGTGGCACTTCAGTTTAGTTGAATGGAGCGGCTACAGCAGGTTGTTTCATTTAAAGCTGACGGGAAGCACGAAAGCGAAGCAGAAAGAGAGAGAGGCCCTTGATTCTGCGAGCCTCTGTGGTCAAATCCATCTGTGTCAGTGCTTGTCCAAAATAGGCACAATACAGCAGTCCTCTGGATAATTACACATTTCAGAATAAGAAACACTGTCACCTCCCTCCTTATAGTCATACACTTACTTACACACACATTAGCCTTTCTCAGTTTAATCATTTCTTTTCATTATAATAAACAAAATATGTTTGTAATTCTTGATCAGTATTTAAAGGGCCAGTTTACTCAAAACAATTAATTCTGTCCTCATTTCCTGACCCTCATGTCATTCCAAACCTTTAAATCAGTCCAAATATCTTCTTTTGTGTCCACAGAAGAAAGCAAGTCATACAGGTTTGAGACGTCATAAAAGTTTTATAGCTTCAAAAGAATTCAGATCGTCACTTAACTATCACATCCAACCCATCTTACCAATAAAAAGTGATACAAATCACATCCTTAACAACATAATTGCTCTTATCGGACAATAAATCACACTTTGCATGGCAGTGTTGTGCTTGCGTGCAGATGATGATGCTTTAATGAGGAAACTAACAGGTCTCCTGATAAGATAAGACAAGTCAGGTACTTATGAAGCATTAAGGCAGGCAAAGTTAGGCGGTGTCAAAGATTACACTTTAGGCGGAGGTAAAGGTGGATGACTAAAAGCTGCTTGAATGGTGACCTGGGAGCGTTCATACAAGACATGTTGCCAAAATACCAAAGTTATTACAGTTATTGTTTTTATAATAAAACAGTGAACCGTAGCTACCACGGTGCTGAAGAAAAGGCATTAATCAAACTGACATGTATATATTATGTGTCATGGTTTTACAGTAGCAACAATAAATGTTATTGGCAGAAACTATGGTTTCCATATTTAAGGGTCATTCCATTGTCGCTTTTAAATGCAAGAATATACATGAGTGGCCCCAAAGGCTTTCTCACTGCAGTTAAGCAAACGAGTTGAGACGTACTTTGCACTTAGCAAAACACTTGTGCCTCTGTCAGCTGATATCATTACTGAAGATAAAGAGACCGTTGAGCTCCCAGACAGCCAACTCTGAACACCTGAACATTAGCGGAGGACACAGCTGGCGCTGAGACAGCAGACGCTTGGGAATGTGACAGTGCTTTATTATCACTACCCAAAACACACAATGCAAATATAGGTTTGCATTCACCCGCATTAGGAGCTTGGAAATCACGCCAAGGTTAAGACTTTGCACAGATAAGTGGCCTAATAAAATCAAACGAACAATGAAGGAGAGAACTATGCATGCTATTTGGCCCAGAAACAAATAAAAAAATGAATCCCCATTCTTAGGCCAGTTATTATTCACTCAGCCCTGTTATTATCTGATTTCTGTGGCAGCTCTTTCCTCTCGATGCCAAAACATGAAGAGGCAGAGGATCAATCTGATTTTTGACTTTTCAGATAGAATAGAAATGCAATAACCCATCATGATGTTTCACATTCAAGCGCTGCAGTTTCATTAGCCGCTTTTGTCTTCCAAAATAAACCACATCGGTTTCGCTTTTGGAACAAGACTTTGTGACATTGTCAAGAACATCTAAACAAACACTAAAAAGCAGAGTTATGCATGTTTGAAATTGTTTCTTGTAAAACTATCAATCAAATTTGACCCAAAATATGTTGTTTTTCTAAGTTTTAACCCACATAATGCTCTCAATGATAGGGTACAATGGGAATAAAACCCCAAGGATGTGATTTTTCATCATAACCGTAGCATGGTCTTACTGGTTTTATCAAACAGTTACTGCATATTCAAAATACTGAGGGCACAAATTGTTATTAGAATGTTCACTTTTCACTTTTATTAAGCAAATTCATGAAAGGGCCTCAACAAAGTAGAATAAAACGCCGTGATTGGTGAACAGGTGTTTCGCCTCACAAAAATTTAAATCATAGTGAAATGTATAGTTCAAATCAAACTTTGATGCTTGTTGACTCATAATTAGATTTTGAGACTTTAGCCTGGATTTCACAGAGACGGTTACATATTGTGGAAAATAACACAGCTGGCTGGCTAAATTGACCAATCAGAAGCACAGACCAGAACTCTCCGTTTTATAAACAAAGATTTTTTGACCAATCAGAATCAAGTAGGCTATTCCTGAGCGCCTTGTGATAACGTTCATTAAATGGACGACATTTTTGTCAAAGTTGTGTCCTAATGTTCTTTAGTGCTTCTTTTGCCTATTAACTCCATTATAAATTACTATTTCATAGTAGGCTACACATTATGACCAAATACGAGCGTTTATGTAGACCATTTGCACTGTATGGATTTTAATATAGTTGAATTGGTTTCAATTTAAGCATCATAGATGGGCGCAGTTTCACTTGGCAGGTTAAATTATGGCATTTGACATCCCAGAACTGTCAGTGCATCTTACCAAGATTAACAAAGCTCATGACCATGTCCGCGTCGTTCAGAAAGTTGTTGTCCTGAAGGGTCGCGATCGGCGGTCCCTGAGTGGTGAAAACGGGCTTGTACGGGTACGAGAAGCCCTCCTCCTCTCCCTCAGTGGACATGGCATTGTACAGATCCAGCATGAACATCGGCGCGGCGTTGTGCTTGCCGTGGAGGTGCGGCCGCGGCCGGTGCGGTAACCCGAGGATTGACAGGATCTCCCGCTGCATCTCCCGGCGCTCCTGGCTCTTCAAGCGCCGGTGGATGAAACTAGAGTGGACCTCGCTGTCCAGAGTAAAGTTTGTAAAGACCGTGTCCGCCAGGACGCAATATCCCCAAACGAGCGACAGAACAAGAGCACTTAAATCCAGCAACGAACCCATGATGAACTTTCGCGCAGAGTTTCACACTAATATAAATGAGCCAATCCAAATAGGTGATGACTGAAACGTTAACGCTGGTTTAATTAGTTATGTTGTTCCTACATTTCGCCCACTCGAGAACGCTCTCGGATTCATTAACGCACTTGTAACCTGTTGCGATTGTTTTACACCAATCCTGGAGACGCTCAACCTGTAGACGCACAGTGCTCTGAGTACAGATGGAAACTGGAGGAGGAGCGAAGCGGAGCCGCATAAAGCCCCGGAGAGTGGGAGGTATGAGGACGCAGGCGACTGAAAACGGCAGGGCCGGTGGGTTATCTCCGCAGATGCTCGTCTCTGAACTGTAATGATGGGTGGAGGCTGCTTTACGCGCTTCATGGATGCGCGTTTTCAGAAATGCACCTGCGGCGACAACAAGTTGCTCCGACGCGCGTCTCGCTGTGTAAAGATATTGCAACATATCAAGGAGAGTGAATTATACTGCTGTTATTAGCTGTAGTGCTGGAGATCGTACCTGAGGGTAGAGATTACAATCAGAACATCTCAAAAGCGAGTAGAAGACGTTAGTTTCACGCTGGCTGTAGGCTGAATTATGGGAAGTTTGTCTGGCCCCATGTTTCAAACTTTTATATGTAACCTAAACGTCCAAATGGAATAAATTAACAAGCAGATGAGTAAAAAATAAAGTGGTATTGTTCAGTGCTTTGAGCAAACACTATTTCAGAAGAACGTTATAGAAATATAGGCTTACTGTTAGCCTATTATTACTCACTTTCTTGTAGATTACACAGCTCAATATGTCGCAAAAACTTTTCAAACTCTTTTCCTATAGTTTGAACTAAGCATGTCGCTAGATGGGCTCGTTTCTCAAGGAAAGCAAGAACTGATAAACGGTGTTGAATACAGTTCAAGTCGCTTTGGATTAAAACATGCCAAATGCGTAAATGTAAAACATTTTAAAGATAAACCTCAACAGAAATTCCTCTAAAACGTCGACTACGCTGAAAGCTACTGAATAATTTGCACACTCGTTACACAGCTGCATGTATACACATGCCTTTAGAGCTTGATCCGGACGGATCAAATATTGCCTCATTGTGACTTTAAAGCTGGCATGGAATGAAAATTTGTCCTGTCATAGTGTCATAACTGGACCTTCCAGTGAAAATGACAGACTTAATTCTCTCTGGAGATGAATACTGCACATCTCCAGGCACGTGCACACATAGACATGAAAGGGGGCTTGAGCACCTGCCCTTCCTCGAGAGAAAGTGAATTCCGCGAATTCTCTCATCATAAACAACAAAGCGCAGATACAATGTAAGTAAGGGATTCATTTCTTAGTGTAGACAGCTTCAGTGATTATAACGATACTTTTGTTTTTTTGATAGTGCGATAGATCACAGTTAGTGATAATGTCATTTCTGTACATAATTTATTTGCCGTTTGAATAACCGTGGGAAGGAAACGTTATGCAAGCTAACAGTTAACAGTGACTTGCTGTCACCTACTGGCAGTTTTAATTTCACATTTAAAGTATCTTTTCATTTTTTAAAAATAATTTCAAATATCAGTATTTAACGTTTTATTTTTAAAATATCAAAACAGTATTAATGCAGCTGCTTTTAGCCTTACCCTGTAGTTGGTTCACCCTCAGCCTATGGTAGCACACACTGATCAGCTGCACATCACGTCACAGACATGCAGAGAGCCGCAGAAGTGAAGCCCTCCCTCGTTTCCAGTTGTGTTTGCCTTGGTGTGGAGGTGAGTGGTGATGAACAACAGACTAAGCTACCTGTGCCTCGAATTTACAGCTAATTATCCTGTCCATGACTCATTCATGAGAACTACCAAGTTAGCTAAAGCAATAGGAAGTCTAGTAGGTTAGACCAGTGCACGTTCTTTCACAGCATGATTCAGTTTATTAAAATGCATTTAGAAGGCAAAAATCAATTTAAACTTATTGGAAAATATTAATTTCTATCAGTGTGAACTGATCATCACACAGAATATGAAGAATATTAAAAACATTAGGAGTCAGCTTTCTTCGGTAGTCTTTTTTCCACTTGAGCCCCTGCCCCTCAAAATGTCTGTGCACCTCCCTGCATATCTCTATTCATTTCGTCTGTTTAAACTCTGCCCCTGCAAGTTCTCGCTTATCTGCTGCTGCTTTTGAGTGCAATACAAGTGTTGCCAAATGCCTTCATGAAAAGTTGCTAAATGTCATTATATGACATCATGCACTAATTAGCATATCAATTGCGTCATCATGTCTTATTCCTATTTTAACACCCAAATTCCCAATAAAACTGTTCTCATTTACATATTTTTATGTTTCTGTCATCAGACAATGCGACCCATTATATGCAGTCACTTACTTCCAATCTGCTGCTCTGCACTGCTAAAATCCAGCCGTCGTCGGACAGAATCACCATACACAAGATGATTTCAGCCGTATTTACATGTAAAATGATAACAAGAGAACAGAGAAAACATTACAAATGACAGCATGTCTGCCTTATTTTTTATTTATTTGTTTATCACCAAAAATACCCAAAAAATACCCAAATATATTTAAATATCACCAAAATACCTCCTTGTCACAAAACATTAATAAAAGTCGCAGCAACAATGAGAAGGTCACTACAAAATCCCCAAATTGGCAACAGCAATGCCCACAATGTCAAAATCCAACAATCAATGAACCAAGTCACAACCTACATTTTTTCTTTTTCGATAATCTGTTACACGCGGATGTGCATAACAATACAGAATTAAATATCTGTCACTACACTGAAAAAAATGATTTACTTAAAAATAAGTTTTCATACAGAAATTTCCAGTAAACGATTGCAAAGGAATTGTCAAGTAACACCTTGCATTAAATGCGAAATTTTAAAATAGAAAAACTGAAATTGAATTTTCTTGTAAAATGTACTCTGTTTTTTTTTTAAGTATACTTCTGTTTCATTGCAACTTTAAGTTATTTCACCACTCTTCATGTTGCGCTTAAAAACAAACAGGAAATATTACATAATTTGGTTTGAAATTGGTTCAAATCTTCAACAAATTAACTCATAAAAATGAATCATGAGGATGTGTTGATCGCATGATCATAAAAATAACTTGCTTTAAATTAACATAAAATGTAAACTTCACCAATAGCCGTTTTCTTGGGGGAAATATAAGACACAGAAGGTTAAGCAAAAGTCTCCATTTATTCTCATGGCTGAGAAGCAATGAAGGTACAGAGAACTCCTCTGTGATTTATATAAATGCTTATAATGACCAAAACAGCCAGATATATAGGGACTCAGATGGCAGACAGCTGTTGTGTGAGGACAATCCCACCTGCCCCTTACGGCTCAGCACCTCTTAAACACTCAGTTTAATGCGCCGCTTCTGAAGCTCACCTGAGCTGTTTATTCTGTCACCCCGACACATTAACCTCCAGATGCTCTGTACAGTTAAGAGCCACGCATTAAAGGACCTAGTCGCAGAGATATTGCAACAGCTTTGCCTTGAGCACAGGTGTCAGGTACACTCATTAAAGTGGCTTCAGCACCAGGGGAACAGGGCAGTCCCAGATGTGAACAGCAGCTGCTTTGATTTAGGTTTTGGGAAGATGGATGGAGAGGAAGTCACTCTTTGCTTTACGCCGCTTATTGTGTGCATTTCTCATTTAAGGATACTTTCAGTCCTTTGATTTGCAATGAAAATAAATGTGCTTAATCTGCACCGAATATCCGTTTATGCCTCGATCAGTGTTAAATGCCTATTAGTAACAGCCTGAACCATGTAAACAGCGCTTTTCGCGTCCATCAGATAGAATCAGTGAATGGCCGCAGGTGTTTACATTGAGGCAGCGTCTGATTCAGGGCTTAAAAGCGAAAGACATGGTTTCAGTTAAAACTATCCTCCGTCCCTGTGTGTGGGAGCCAGGCCCCCCCAGTCCGTCTCTTGGCCCAACAGAGAGCTGTCATTCTGGGGAGGGACAATAGGAACAGATCCCCCTTTGTTCCAGCTCCGGTGGCCCTTGTGAGCAGCACAGTAAACAGCGGGCACAGGCTGATTTGCCGGCCTGGATAGCCACACTGAGGAGCTTTTGACCAGGGGAAGTTAAGCAGAACAGCACCCTAAGATCTCCCAATGACTCTCTTTCAAGCACAATCTCTCTCTCTCTCTCAGCCGCACTCACCCTCTTGAAAACAAACTTTTATTAGCAGGGAATGTACACAAAAGAAGTGTGAAAATGCATATGAAAGTTGTCTGGAAGAAACGGATTATAGTTTAAATTGGTGTAGTTTACAAAGTGTCATTTTTTGGGTTACTATCCACTTGCATTATATAGATTGACAGAGATGGATTCGTCCTCTAAAAATCTTCATTTCTTCAGTTCATCTGAAGAAAGAGAGTCATGTACAACCTGAGCAGCATGAGAGTAAACGATGAGAGAATTTTCATTTTGGGCTTAACCCTAACCTATTAATTTGGTTATAATTTACTTGTTCTGACCCTGTACAGTTTTCTTTGTTCTGTAAAACACCAAAAGAAATGGTTTGGCCGAACATCAGAGGAGCTCTTTTCAATGCAGTGAAAGTTGTATTGATGGTTATTTTTATGTTTTACTGCCAAGGTCCAAAAGGGACAAAAACATGGTTTCACACCAGGTTTTATTTCATTAAAATGGTATTGGTTGTTGCATGTCACTTGACGAAATGTGACATGCGCAAGCTTGAAAAGCACGTCCATAAATGAGAAACAAGAGCTACAACAGCGGGCATGATTGTAATTGAATAATAGCTTCAATTAGCTTAAATTTCAGTCTGTTCTTAATGCAAAGCTATCAAATGGCTTCAGGAATATAAGTTGTTACCATCCACATTTGTTGCATTGAAAACTCAGCCTGCTGGAAATACATAGGAGGTAAATAAATGGCACTAAAATTACAAAATTATATGACAAAATTTGCATATATTAGACATAACTTAGCCACCCTGATCACATGAAAGGAAAATAATGAAGCTTTCCTGATTGTTTACACACTATGGAGGACTGACATTGCATCATGTCTTAAAAGCAAGATAAAAAAGGTCACAGTTCTTCTCAGTCTAAACAAGCTCAAACCACACGGCAAACTGTTGAGTGATAGAAATTTGAGTAATCAAGTGAAGAAAGAAGGACACTTTTTCACAGTCGCTGTGAAACACTACCACAGAGCCACATCAAAAAATATTTAATATTATTAATAAATATAATATAAATTAAAATAT